ACCCCTAAAAATAAACCCTAAATAATCTATGTTAATAAATATCTTATTTACTAAGTCCTACTATTATAATATCGGTCCTTCTTAGAACCTCGCCTTTAGCTCGCGAAAGGCCGTTTCTTCCTTAGGACCCTATTAAAAGGCGTAGTTATTTTTAGTAAATACTATTAACGGGGTAGAGATCCCTATAAAGTCCTTAATAAAGATCCGGTAATAATTTATAAACCCTAGGAAGCTTTATACGCCCTTAACCGTTATAGGCGCTTCCTACTCGCGGATAGCTTATAACTTCTTTAGGTTATAAGATACGCCCTTCCCCGCGGTAACTATTAATCTTAGGTACTTTACTATCTTTACGCTAAACATATACTTTAATAAATCTAGGTTTAGGCCGGTATTCGTGAGCGCGCGGAGTACCTACTTTACCTTCGCCTTATAATTAGCCCGACTCTTACTAAAATAAACTAGGATATTATTAATATAAGCGGTAATAAAGTCGTCTAGAAAATACTATAGCATCTTATTAATATATCGCTAAAAAATTATAGGGGCTTTACTTCAGCCGAATAGGTAGATAAGCTATTCGAAAAGCCTAAACCGAGTTTAGAACGCGGTCTTATATTCGTATCCTAGGGCTATCCTAATCTTATAAAAGGTAGCGATTATATTAACCTTCGTAAACTATTTCGCTTAACTTAGGTTTTATAGTATCTTAGCGATTACAAGGAGTAAATAATAATCTTACTTAGTAATCGCGTTTAACGCTTAATAGATATAATAAAAATAAAGTCCTCCGCCTAGCTTCCTTATAAAGAGGATAGGAACTATAGCTTTTAAACTATTAGTATAGATAAATACCTTATTTACTAGGTTAATAAGTATTTTCCGTAATACTAGCAGTTCTTCTCTTAATATATAATAAAACGGCCCTTAAGGAAGCGATAGTTCTTTACTGTTATTTCCGGGTATAGGGTTTACCTTATAATTAACTCTTAGTCGGTATAGCGGTAGTTAATTAGCCTTATCGGGCGTAAATAAGTCGCCGAATTCTTATAGTAGCTTTTTAGGTATAAAGTCCTTCGGGTCCGCTAGTTATTTTTTATATAACGCTTTTTCGATATCTCTTAAGCTTACTCCTTAGACTAAGGCTTTTTCCTATTATAATCGTCGGATAATACCCGCGAATACGGATCAAGTAACTAAATAGGCGCTATAGGTAGCTTGTACTCTAATATGTTCTTTTTTATCAGAAACTCATATATTTAATCCGGCTACTCTATAACAAAGCCGTTTATCCTTAGCGTAGTATATTACGTTATTTTATTGTATCTAGGGCTTCCCGAGGAATACGTCTTAATTAAGCCCGGGCACTATATATACGAATATCCTTTACGGGTAGCCGCCGATCTTAAGCTTATAGATAGCGATCCCCGTGCTATTAATAGTCCTAGTAGCTTCTAAGAAGCTATTTAGTAGTCGATTCGTCTTATTAACTAATAGTAATTAAGATCTTTAAGTAAACTATTTACTTATAATAGTATAATAATTATAACTAATATTAATTATTATTATTATTATTAATCTTACTCCGCTATCCTAACTAATCTATCTATAGGAGCCTTTCTAGGCTACACGGTCCTTCTCGGGTGGCTATAGAGGGGAAAACCCGGGTAAACCCCGGGGAAAACCTCTATACACTTCCTTTAGTGGAGAGGTGCCGCTACGGGGCCGATATAGCCCCGGTTTATCCCTATTATATATCTAGATCTTACCTCTAGGCCGGTGGCTAACGGGAAGTATAGTAGGCTAGTGGTTAGGTGGGTTAGCCTAGGCTAATCTCTATTAGTAGAACGGGGCCCGAGGGGGCGCCACCACGCTTCCGGTATACGGTAGCTACGGCTCTCCCTCCTTAGGCTCCCTATATCCCTCGAGGATTATCTTTATTCCTTCTGTTCGGTTAATAAAGGGAGTAAGGAGGTAAGCGCCTCCTACCTCCCCTAGGTGGGTTCCTACTATATCCGGCGGCAGGTAAGGGGAATAAAGCCCTACCCTATTATAAGAATTAGATAGTTAATATCCCGTAAGGCCTTCGTGCCTTAATCCTCCCTCTTCCTCCTATAACGCTAATAAGTTCGTTATAGGTTTTCCCTTAATCTATTCCCGCTTACGGTCTCGCAGGTATATCGTTATAGCCTATACTAACTAGTAAACCCCTTTAGTTTTCTCGGTATATTCCTATTATAGTTTTTACTATAAGTATCTTATAAGTAGCCTCGCGGTAGCGTAATAGTATAGGGTTAACTAGGTAGTATAGTATCGATTTATATATATAAATAAGTAATCTAAAGTAGTAGTATAATATAAGTTCTTTTCGTGGCGTAGCGGTGCCTTAGTAGTAGTATAATAATAGTCGTAGATATTATCTCCTAATAACGCTAATACTAATAGTAATAACCGCTACTATAAGCGCGGCATAATTCGTGTTATACTATATATAGCCCTTAGTTATATCGGAGTAGTATTATAGCGCTAACGTAGGGTAGTTATATTCGTTATAGTAAGCGTTTAGGTATTTACCCCGATAATATAGAAGCTTACGTTAATACTACAGGAATAGGCGCGGCCTATTACTAGTATACTAATAGTCGCAGTCTATAGAAGGATATAAGTCGTTTCGGTGCCGTAATAATACCGTATATACGTTAAGGCAGATATAGCTAATAATTCGATAGGTCCCCTCCGCTACTAAGAAGTAGTAATAACGCCTTATAGATATCTATTCGGTATATATAGCGGTAAAGGCCGCTAATAGCGCGGGTATCGCTATTATAGGTATCCCCTTTCGGTGTTATAGTAGTTCTACGCTAATAAGTTATAGGCTAAGGAGCGCCTAAGGATAGCGTCCCGGTCTTTTAGCTAGGCCCTAAACCGGGCGTTACTTTCCGGTTATAGTCGCGGCGGCACCGTGTTAGCAGAGGTATAGGAGTTATCTTATTAGATAAGACGTTTAGAGGGTAAGATAGATCTAGTTCTAGAATACCCTATAAGTGGCTCCCCCTCGGTCCCGCTATAGCTTCCTAACAGTATTAGCTAACTAGCCTAATAGGGTCTTAAGTATATTAAAAGCGGTATTAATACCTCTAAGGGAGGTAATAACGATAAGAGCTAATTAGTATCGTAATAGTACCGCGTTAATACCGCCGGGGTCCCGGCTTATAGGGCCCTTATCCTAATAATTAATTAGTCGTCGTGCCGCCCTATCCTTAGTATAGTCCCGCTTCGGTATCGCGGGTATTTTCGTAGGCCTTTATAACTTCGAGGGCGAGGCGGAAGTCCTTAAGCCTCTTCCGTTATAAGAACCACCTTATAACTACCCCGGCCTCGGTATTATATTCTAGTATATCGTATAAATCTCCTTTAGTTATAAGTAGCCTCCCCGCGGTACTAAAGAGGTTCTTATAGTCCTCCTCGGTTACCTCTTAGCACTAGAGTACTATATACTCCGCCGTTTCCGCCCCTCCGTCCCCGTAAAGGCACCGCGGTAATAGGAAGCCCGGCACCCTCGCCTTAGCTAGGAATACCCGTAGGCCTAGTTTTTCGAGTCTAATCTAAGTAAATACAGAGCTCTATAGCTTAAGGAGCCCTTTATATTTTTAGAGGGAGTATTATATCGGGGGGCGGCTTAGTACCGCTACGGCATAGGTATAAGGCCGCCGTGCTTCCGCCTAGGCTTAACCCTATTCCCTTATAAAGGCCTTCCGCGGGGGCGAGGTTCCGGCCTAGGTTATTAGGGCGGTAAGCTATACTATCTATATAAAGGCGGTATAGGTCCTATAAAATACCGATTCGGTATCGCTAGGGCTCTCGCCGCGGTATATACTCCGGCTAATATCTTATCCTTAGTCCCTTTTTCTTATATCCGGAGGATCTTTCGGGCGCTTAGTAGTAGTAGTAGTAGTAGTAGTAGTATTATTTAACGTCGGTAAATATCTAAAAAGAGTAAAGGACGCCTAGTACGACTCTCTACAATTACTTACTTAGCAGTACAGTGTGATTCACTATGTATAAATCCAGAAACCGCAAGAAAATAGACAAAAGACCAGAAATTAATACTATGCTGCTAAGAATTATAACAGGCCTAGGGAATTAAGATAAAATAAGAGGATAAATAGGCTACGGAGCGTTAATACGCTCGCTAGCCGTAGGGTAAATAAGCCTTTATAAGAGCGGTCGGCTACACGAGTAGTTAGACGGTCTTAATCTTCGGAAGTAGGCTAAAGAAAAATCCGTATAAGCCAGGGCCGGGGATAGCGCTTAGTAGCGCGATAACCCTTTAGCGGTGTTACGGAGATATTCGGGTTAAGGCCTAGGGCTCTTACGAGCATCTAAGGGGAACCTAGGGTAGATCTTCTCGAAGAAGAGTATTTAGGTGATATATTTAATAAAAAGGGGCTAGTCTAGCCCGAGTTATTACGACACGTGTTATCGGCGGCCTATCTATAGGGGAGCCCTGCCCCTTACCTTTTAGCAGAAGAGTAGGTAAGCTAGGGTCTTTTATTACCACAGGAGCACGTCGTGTATACGTCTATATAGCTAAAGCGGTCATAGTACTACGCAAAGTCGCCATAGCCCGTTCGGGCCGCGAGTAGTCGGTAGTAGGGGGCTCGTTCTAGTATAAGAATCTCTCCTATAAGCTTAAGTAAGGCCTATAGTCATAGTTCTTTATAGCTAGGCAGCGTATTATCCTGCTACTAGTCTTAGAAGGCGATACGTCTTAGGCGTCTTATCTCCCGCTTCGTGTGACTAAAGGTTAGGGCTAGGTAAAGGTATAGCCTAATACGGGCCCCTTCTTTAGTAAGGTGGTCCGCTAGTTTATTACCTTTAATACCTATATATCCGGGGGACTATCGGGTGGCTATTTAGAAGGGGGCATTATTAGCGTTATAGCGGAAGTTAAGGAAAGCCTCTTATAAGGAGGGTAGGGTTAGGGGGCCGTTAATCCCTTAGATCACGGCTATATTATCAAGGTATACCGTGATATTCCTCGTGGTCGTATCGGATTCCTTAAGGTCGGCGAGGAGGCCGGTTCTAGCACCTTCGGCTTCCGCGTTAAAGACTTCCGTACCGGGGAAAGGGCGATATCCGGGGTGTATAAGGTTAGTGCCCTTATATACCGTATAGCCGTAGCCGGTGCCTACGCCGCTATCGGTTTATATCTATAACCCGTCGGTGAAGACGGTGATATCGGTAGGTATACGAGTCTAGAACCATTATAGGAATTCTCTTATAGCAGTCTTCTTATCTAGGGATGCAGAATGCGTGAGTGAAACGGGCGAGGAGTCTAGGGGTTACAGGGAGCCTATTATAGTCTAGCGGGGCCAGGGTAGGTTAAGGGTATTCCGGTGCCATCGCCGCCGTATTAGTAAGGGTGGTAGGGCCGGGGG